CGGGTGTATGTATGTATGTATGTATGTATGTATGTATGTATGGAGCTGCTCCGCTGATACTCTCTGGTCTGGTCTGGTCTGGTCTGGTCTGGTCTGGTCTGGTCTGGTCTGGTAGTTGTGGGCTTAGAGTTGAGGGTTGAGGGTTGAGGGTTGGATGAGTGAATGAATGAATGAATGAATGAATGAATGAATGAATGAATGAATGAATGAGTGAACCATGGTGGCAAATTGAGGACGGATGTCGTCGTCGGCAGCGGCAGCGGCAGCGGCAGCGGCAGCGGCTCGGAGGTAGAGATAGGAGATAGGAGATAGGAGATGGATTTGGCGCAGCGCAGCGTATCTAGTTAGTTATAGTTACTTAGTTGGTAGTTCGTCTGTCTGTCTGTCTGTCTGTCTGTCTGTCTGTCTGTCTGTCTCTGAATTTGATACGTATCCAGATTCTGGTGGCGACGTGGCGAGGGGACGGGGTTGGGGGTGGCTTATCTATCTACTCGGATCTAGATCCTCGCATTCGGATCGTGTCGTTGTCGCTGTCGCTGTCGTTTTTCTGGATCGTGGGCGTCGACGGAAGGAAGGGCCGTTAGGGGTTCGTCTCGAGAGGGATTCGTTTTTTTTTTTCTCTTTTTTTTCTCTTTTCTTCTTCTTTTTCTTTTCTTTTCTTTTTTTTTTCTGTTGTCAGATCCTCGTCCTCGTCCTCGTCCTCCTCCTCCTCCTCCTCCTCCTCCTCAGCAGAGATGGTTCTCTCCTTATCCCAGCTTGCCGTCCCTCCCCACCGTCGCTTATCTCACTCAGCCGAAACATCTCGCTCTCCGAGCTGGAGTCCTCCTCGGGTTCCGACTCCTCCCTCGGCCGATGATTCCGTTCGCCTGTGGCTTTCTATGATCTTTTCTCTTCCGTCTTTCCATAGACGCTTAGCCTTGCTTTCCTCCTCCTGCTCCTCCTCCTTGCCTTCCACTTCCCTTCTCATCTCGGCCATCTCGGCTCCTTCCTCTCCCTACTTCCCTCTTTCTCTGTTTCCCTTCAGTCCCATCTCGCTTCCTCTCTCCACTGCTCCACATGACATCGACAACTCCCTCACCATCTTCACCGTCCTTCCTCTCGCTTGATGAGAGGCATTCGGTGTTATCACAAGAGGGGATACGGGTGACTAAATAGCTCCAGGCTTCACTTTGCGTCCCTCTTGGTTATAGCATGGTCTGGGGGACGGGGACGGGAACCGGCGGCCTGATTCTTGGTAGCGCTTTTGAGACCGGTGATGAAGAGTGCGATTCGGGATGATCTCAGTCAACATTCGAGGGGTCTGGGCTGTTGTTGTTGGTGGTGGTGGTGGTGGGAGGTCTGAATGCACAAGTGGATAAGGACATGGATGCGGAAGGGTAGGATCATGGTATAGAAGCGTGCTGTGAGGGCTGGAAATGTAGGATTGCGAACTAGACGAGGTCGTGGTACTGACGCAACTACCTATGCGACTGACTTTATCAGAGGTGCATCATCGTTGTCGTCTGTCTGTCTCTCTGTGTCAATCCTCTGAGAAGCCTGTTGAGAGAATATCAGGGTTTCGCGATCGGGGACGGAAGGACGGTTTTATAAAGGGCGGACTCGCTCGCTCGCTCGTGGGAGCCCCCGGGTTCTTAAAACGATACCACACACACAAGTTTGCCTCTGAGAAAGCTAGGCATCCGTCTTACCCGACAGCCTCCTCGGAGGCCGTCGCGAACCAGTAGATGGAGCGTCAGTTGACCGTTTTATGTGTCGGGCCGTCTCGGGTACTCGCATGTCGGTGGTAAAGGGGCCGCGAGATTGTGTTCCGGTCTTTGAGGTACGAGGCTCTTGGTAGGACGGTACTCTCGATGATCAGTTCGGGGGCTCGGGAAATAGGCGCTATGGGTGTGAATTTTGGGGTTGGGTGCGAAGTGGATGGTGGGATGGTAACAAAAGGTCTAGGTTGCATGAGCTGGATAGTGCGACGAAGAGTAAGGCGAGCGAACAGGGCGGGCACATAGTGTGCGGTGCACATTTCAGGCTGGACCGACTGCTAACTGGTGCACACGTAGAACTGAGAAAAATCGGGCTTGACTGATTTGGGGTGTTGTTTCTCGGAAAGTACAGTATGGATTGGTCGACTAGCGAGCCCCTGAAGTTGGTCAGGATGGTCACGTGTGTACAGCGACAATATCCAACCCTATCCTCGACTCACGACTCTCGACTCTCTCCTACTTCACCTCTGCCGCTTTCAGAACAACCTCAGCCAACTCCTGCGGAATGCTCGCATAGGGGCAATGCCCACACTTCAAAACCCATGTCACCGGCTCGGGCCCAAGCTGGGCAGCCATTGCTTGTTGGATCGGGAACAGTAATGCGTTATCTTCTGTGCAGAAGATATACGCACACTTAACACCGTTGTTCCATGGCTCAAAGGTCGATGGGGTCGAGAATACAATGCTAGCGGAGTGCGAGATCTGCTGCAAGTACGGCGCTGCCTGCTCGACTGACATGTCGTTGTATATTATGTGATGCATTTGATCGGCTACGCCTATTGTTTTCTCCCCCTATGGTTTTTCCAATCGTGTCAATCAACTCTGCATCCCGAACCTAGCGAGGATTTTTGGGGGAAAAAGAACGCACCTGTACATCCATCCATGGCAGCGGCTTGCCCCCAAGCATATCCAGCAAACTCTTTCCTTTGGGGATCATGAATGCCGCCATATACACCACCAATCTCACCCCCCCCTTCTTACCCTCCTTAGCTCTCTCAGCAACGCTGAATCCCTCAGCGGAACAGGATCCGACCACGCCACCATAACTGTGACAGAGCAGCACAACTTCTTTCCCCTCCTCAACGAGCCTGGTTAAGACTTTCTGCGTTTCGATCACATCTTCAGGTAGGCCCGGAAGGGGCGACTCGGTCCCGCCCACTGATGGGAAAGCGATCACTTCTGTAGGAAGGCCGGCTTCTTGGAGTTGGGTGGCAAAGGGAACATAGCCGCTTGCGAGCTGCCACGCGCCGGGCACGATCACAATTGTCGGTTTCTCTGTACTCATGATGGAGATCTGATGTTTTTTCCTCTTCTTCGTTAGATTCAGGTGAGAGGGTTGTCTTGGGGGTTTTTATCAATGTTGGGCGACTCGTTAATTCGAGAAGTCAAGGATATGCTTTTATCTGATAGACTTTCTGATACTGGCTTTCCATTATTACCCCACCTCCACCCGTGAGAATGAATGGATCCCTCGGCAGAGGAAAGCGGTTCTGGCGGAGGTTGCGGGGTCGAGTGCAGAGACCGCGTGTCGATGTTGATGGCTGGCATATCTCGGTATACCTATGTCTTGTTTGAGACCGCGTCTCTCTAGCAATATAGCAGAATCGAGGCAAGTAGGTATCGGGTGCTTAGACTTGCCATGGTGGAGATATATCCTTTGCATTGTGTTTATGAACTGTTTCGCAGGAAGGTTGCTTGGGAGCTTCGGCAGCGTCGTTCGGCTTTCCATGAGGGGTCGCTTAATTAATTAGGCGCCGATCGAAACCACTGTTGTCGAACTTCTTTTTCTCGGTTATAAACTGCTACTTGGAATCGATGTCTGCATGGTCGAGTCAGGTGGCGAAATAGATCGGGGAGGCTGAAGTGTTGTCGCTGAAGCGGCCTGCTATAGCACGGCTGTCATTTGCGCCATTCGTCTTGAACTCTTTATAATGCGATCCTATAGAGCAGGCATGGGGCCATAAACCCCCCCGGATAAGCGTTGCCCTGAACACGATGATCTTGATAGTCGCGGGTCTAAAGACCTTGACAGATACAGGCTTCCTGCATTGCCAACACCACATACTCCAAGTCACCCAGTACAGTATTGCCAGCTTTAGAATCTAGCTCACTGCTAATACCATTATCACGTGAAGGAATAGGAAGGAGGACTCACCAACAACACCTAGCCACGTTTCCAGTAGAACGGACGGACACAAGACAAAACAAATAATATATGCCCAAAGATATTTCTTGTCTGCAGAATAGTCATTGCGGAAATCTGGCCGTCGCTGTAAGTAATTACTATCTTCGTCGCTCCTCTGTCGCCTAGTCCGCTAAGTTACGTCTCGACCGGTAATGCAGGTAGTTTGGTAGGGTCGAGCAGTCCGGATATGGGATGGTGGATGAAGAGACCAAGTCACCTGGGACGCTAGCTATAACTATGGCGATAGCAGGCATAGATATCGCATCTCCGCTCAATATAGACGAATCAAACATGCTGATCCCAACCTCGAGATGTGCTATAAGGCCCGTCTCTCAACACCTTCGATCCCCTACTCGTACTGGAGAGGATGCACCGATGCGCTGGTACAACTATGGGTGAGACTAGAACATTCAAGAAACCCACTCGGCTTCGAAGCTTCGAAGCACATCTCGCTATCTTTGGCCCGTTCCTGCAGACAGTTAAAGCGAGCCATCGACGTGATTCACGATATGAAGGGTGCACTGTACGGGACCTAGCGAAAGCTCGTGCATGTATCATCTAAAGACAGTCGATCAACGCTCGGGAAAAGACTACTCATTTGGGTCGGGAAAGAAAAAGAGTCTCTCTCAATACCCCGCGAGAAACAGACACCTCCGCTATTGCCTCCAGAGGTTGGTATAAGGTAATCATCACGATGGAGGGCCTGGTTATAGAATCCGAGATTTCACGACGTCGGCCTCGGTCAGAAGTTGCTCCAGCTGCAGATTTTGATCATGGGTGTATTGGTGGTTAGCACAGAGTGTCGGAACTGGGTGTCTGTCTTCTGGAGATAGTAAGTGTAATACCTATCACCGGTGAACGTAGACTAGACTTCTGATGTGGTGAAAATCCCATACAGGATATACCCAGTGCTGCTGGGATTCACAATCGTGGAATCTCTGCTCAAGTTTGCTTGCAACCTTCACCATCGCCACCTCTCGCCTTGCCGAACTGCCCTCGGATAGCTGCTGTGGGAGTCAATGTGGCTAATCCGGACAGCTGTCTTGTCTAGAGACAGCATAGAATTACATCTTGAACTGATATTTCAGAACTGGTTAAAGGGTCGGTGGAGCTCAGGTAGCCTCCCCTTCCGGTAAATTCGATATTGGCGGCTGATCCCGAGAATCTGCACCTTGTCTGACTTCTCGGAGGACATCAGAAATTGCAGAACTACAGTCATACTCACCGCGTCGGGCTCTCATCTTTCCATATTTATCATTTGGATCCTTCGCGTCGATCTGTAACAGGGCTGTGAATCGCACAATGACGATTGTCTTGCCGCCTTTATCAAATGCTTGGTGAGTCTTTTCCGGAGTCTTTGGATCTTTACTTCGCCTGTCTCTAGATCTTAGGTCACGACGGGAAATATGCCAGTCGAACTTCCACCGGGAGGCAGATGCAAATATCATCTCACCCACGATCGCTGCCTTTTCGACGACGCTACGCAGACTCCGCAGCCTCTCGGTATTGTCCTTGACCGAGTCATAGAATATCAGTACGGTCTCGTCAATTCTCTTGAAAAGCCGGTCGATGCGGGCCGTCTGATATACTGTTGGGCGCTTCTGTATCTTGGGTAGCAATTGCGCTGTGACGACTCGCCATTGAGTGAAAGCAACGTCTTCTGCTGCTTAAGTCCTCGTTAGCATAATGGGTACCCAGAAGAATTTCTCGACTTCGATTTACCTTCACTCATCTTTACTTCCGGATCACTAAAGCCAAAGTCGTCGATACATCCTACGGCGCTGGGAGACAACAGTGTGCTTGATTTGCGCCCGGAGAAACCGATATTTTTAATCACCATGTGGGATATGAAGCAAGTCACAGCCGACCTCCTACTCCTTGCATCGGAGAGGAGGTGAGAGAATTCCGTTGTCGACAACGTCGGGAACTTGTCTTTCTCCCTGTCGAGCAGTATCTCGATGTCTTTCGGCCCAAGCACGATCTCCCGATCGTGATAGAAGTCCCGGCAGTGGTCTGTGATGGCTAGATGGAGAGCCCCAACCTCTCGCCGAACCTTTCCGTCATTGGGAATATCGTCCGTGTGGTCTTCAAGTGTGAAGGTCACAGCCTTCCTCTTGTCGGGGCGCTGCAGGTGCTCCGGAGTGGACGTCTTGTTCCCCATTCTGAAAAGAGACCGCAGTTCTCGACACTCCTCCACCCCCTAGTTTGCAGTGGCCACAAGGCAAAGATTTCGTGGTGTCTGAAGCGTTCTCGTGATCTCGATCTTGTTCTTGTCTCGGAGTTTCGATAAATGAAAGTTGGACGTTTCCCAGCCGTGTCGTCAGCCCGCCCGAGTGACACCTCGACTAACCCGTGCTTATTTATGCGTGGCCTGCAGCAGGGTCGCAGGTGACAGGCCATGCTGTACAGAGTACATACAAGTTGTCGAAGTCGCTTTACTCTCCTTTGCCTCGTCTTGATCGCCGATGGCTGCTCGCTCTGGCGTCGGCTCTTAGCAAAAGCCATGCAGGACTGAGGCTTGTGGGAATCAAAACAAATCCACCCTCCCTCATTGGGTCATCACGCACTGCATTCTGCTACCATGATTACCCCCGTATTTCCCCACTGCTCGGTTTTCTTCTCTCGCTTGAGTTACCAACAGTTGGTCAACAGGGAAGATGGAAGGGCTTGCGATTGAATACCTGTCAAGTTCGTCTCCTAGCTTTAATTTCCCCCCCCCCCTAAGGGAGACTGCATGAAGGAGGGCAGGGGAGTAAAGCCTATACATGGACGCAGTATCATAGCTCATGATCGACTTCGATATCTTCATCCTTGCGCTAGACTTTTTTTGTTCGCTCCTCCTATACTTGTCATCTTGCCAACTTTGAAGTGACTGGTTGCTCTCCTGGTTCGCAAATCGTATCAGGGAGCACCTTCAGCAGCCAGTCAAGAGCTGTAGCGGCGAGGAAAATTACCACCGCCATCCTTCTGGAATTCTTCTTCAGTTCTATCTCGTGACACTTTTCAAGGTGGAGGATTCCCCAACTTCGAGCTTCTAACAACTCAGGAACAGTCTGATACACGTGATATATAAGCGACCCAAACACGTGACTATTATTGGCTTGTCATTGTTTATAGCTTGGACCAGACCAGGCCCGGGTGGTAGTGATAGTAGTAGTAGTAGTAGTAGTAGTAGTAGTAGTAGTAGTAGTAGTAGTAGTAGTAGTATTGATTTACGTCGGGCGGGTATCCATAACGAAATGCTTGGACCCTAGGACCTCCTATGGGGTACGGCGACGTGCTGAGTAGAGATTATATACTGTACAAAGTACTATCCAATCGAAATTAAAAACCACGTTTAGGAAAAGGTCTCTCTCAAATAGAGCCGGTTCTGATCCCGCGGTATCGCAAACTCCTTATAAGTCCCTTAGAAGCATTGTAAAGAATTTGCACCGAGTTGTCTCTCGGTAATTGTCGCATACGTATAGCCCTACAGGCGGCCTCGGTTCGTACAAGTACAAACATCGATCTGTTTTATCGTATAGCTATAATGACTCGCGTTCGTAGCCTTGATGAAGAGCCGGTGTGTTTGCAGAGCGCTCTTATCGAAGGAGCAATACCGTGTTTTCGATCGATCGAACTAAGCACTTCCCATCTCTCACACCCGTTCCCCTTCTATCGCAAATCCTCTTAAGGTGTTTTCAGTCGGTATGCCCGTCAGGTATAGACCGTAGTTGGCGTAGTGTTCGAGCAAGAAGGAGGAGGGAGGTTCGGAACCGCCGTAAGGGAAGAGAGGCCGCATGTCGATGATTCGCTTTCGGCTCTCCAATTCGATTTCGGCTCTCCAGACTCTCTGCTGCAGGAGAGAGCTGGAGGTTCGTAGGAGGCACCTCCTCGTACAGGTCGAGACAGAATCGTCGCCTCCTACCAGGCCCAGGTAGGCACACTTGGCGGGTGCATGAGTCGAAAGTATTATGTTTTATTGTCTCATTGGTTTATACGATCGATGTCTTACCACTCTGTTCCTCTTCCCGGGATAAAGCCCACTTGTGCACTGGTGGAGCCATGGTAGTGTGCTATCCCTTTAGTTCGTATTTTTCGGCAATTCCATAATTCTCTCTTGTGTTATTGACATCTGTGCGGCGGGAGGGAGATTGATGGATGGAGCCATCTGTTTGGAAACCTTACTTTACATGGACTTCATCAGAGAAATACCGAGGCTTTTTTCTTCCACCGTACGTAGTATATCCCGATCCTAAAACATGTAAAACATGCTAGTAACTTTCTATCGACCGATCAAGACTTTGTAAGCATTGTGCTCCATAGGATCCAGGCCGAGGGCGTCACAAACCTTCTCGATATTAAGTTCCTAGGACGCTCGGGTTTCCCCTGCCAACTCTTTGCTAGGTTCGGTTCTGGCCTTCTTCTTCACCTTTCCACGTGGAAAAAGGCCGGAATCCGATAGTTAAATAAAAATCTCAAGCATACGGACGAGTTCGAAGATACATACAAATAGAAATATCCGTCGCCAGCGTTGTTTGTTACTTATGGAGTCCTCGACTCAATCCCCGGACAGCTTGATCCACAACGTCTCGCAACAGTCGTCGGAATCCCCACAGCCACAGCCCGATGAATCTTCTTCTCATGCCACTGGCAGCAGACCCGAGACAGCTCGCCTGTCATGTGACAATTGCCGCAGAAGAAAGGTGTGTATCTGTATCTGTTTTTGTATCTGTCTCTGTCTCTGTCGGTATCTTTGCAAACAACAAAGATACTCTGCAACACCCGAAATATGGCTGATCATCCGGACAGGTCAAATGTGATCGCGGTCTGCCGGCATGCAGTCTATGTGCGAAGCTCAAGCACGCATGTATCTATTCCGTAGCCCGGAAGAAACCTGTTCGTAGGATGTACGTCTATGTATCTGGAACCCCCTCCTCCCCCCCCCCCCCCCAAAAGAAGTGTCGGGAATGCTGATTCTTTCTCTCTACAGGAAATACATGGAGCTTGAGGAACGATTGGAAAGCATGGAACGAGTCCTGGTGGACCGCAAACCGAGCGACGCTGGATCTGATTTTCAGACACAGCCGTCGCTCAATGACCAACGCCATTTCTCGATTCCCATGGACGATCTTGCCATATCTCACAGCCAAATAGTTCTTTCTCGGCCACCAGGTACAGAGCAGTGCTACGAATGGGATTTTCCCGAGGGCGGTATTTTAGATGATTCCTCGAGCTCAAACGTCTCCTTTAACCCCAGGCCGGATCCTGCAACTTTTACTCGAGGTATGTTCGCTCGTAATCGAAGCCCTCCCCTATATATCGCTGACAGTTCAGGTTCTATTCCCCTCTTCACGAGTCGAGGTACCCAATGGGTTGATCAGTTGGTGGGGGACAGCAGCTTCAGCAATATGGTTCATGACCTGAAGCCTCCCGATAGTGTATTAGCGCAAACAATGGGACTGCTCACCCCTCCAGCGAATCTTCTACCTTCTCATAATCTCGCGGAAACCTGTCTACAAGGTACACGATGATGGGATGAAGATCCACGCATTTGCCATTTCTGACACCTAGCAGGCTTTTTTGCGACGATAAATATTGAGACTACTATATTTCAAGCAGACATGATGTTCGCGGCCCTTCAAAATCACCAGGAGGGCAACAAAATCTTGGAGACCAGCTACATTGCCGCTATAAATATCGTCATAGCTTTTCAGAAGCATAATTGCTTTCAGATAAAATACAAGATCGACAGCGACCTCTTCCTACAGAACGCTCTGTCTTTGATCCCACGACTTCTTATCGAAGGGCCTGATACTATGGGCGTTGGTGCTCTGATATGTATTGTATGAGTATTCCGGAAATTCCACATCCATTCATTCATTGATTACTAATCTGGCTCAAGGTGTTGTATTTCCACTTGGCCTCCGAGATAGAATTTGCGGCAAGTATACTTGGATGTGCGACCCAGGTCATGATCAACGCTGGATACAATCTCGAAAAGAAACCAGATGATGTCAACGGTCTCCTCCAAAATCAACTCTTTTGGCAAGCAACCATTCTTGCCAGTGATTTCTCGCTGCAACTATGTAGAGCTCCGTTCATCAACGATTCGACTCTCGTTTGCCTGCCGCCCAGAAATCCCGTGGATGGTCGTGGAAACGTGACGTGTTACGATGGTACCGTCATCAATATCACTTATGAGCGGGTCACCCTGGCAAAGCTGCAGCGGAAAGTCCACGCTCTGCTCTTCTCCAGCGAGGCTGCAAAGCAGAACCCTCAGCAAACATACGCCACGGTGATAGAGCTGGACCACGAGCTGGCCGTATTCAAGGCGAGACTACCAGCCATCACCGGTAAAGAGATGTACGACGCTCGGTTCGAAGGGGCATTGGTATATCTCACAGTAATTTATTTAAGATAGTAGGTGGAACAGGCTGAATCCACCCCGTTCCTCTCATCGGGTCCAAACGAGCAAAATGCTGACATGGCGCCCCTCCAGCTACCAGCTTGTCATCGCTGTCCATTCCGCAGTGTTCACCCGACCGTCAGGTCGAGATGCCCAGGTTCGACGCAAGAAAGCCGCGCCTAGCATCGCCTTGTGTGTACAGGCAGCACGGGATATCGCATCACTACCAGACAAGCTGCCCAAAGATCACCCGTTTATGAAGTGAGTCGACCGGCCCCACCAAGACTTCATCCATCTTCCAGTCGGCATACTAAATTTGGAATTCTAGATTTCTAGTGCCGAATGTAGCCCTGAACGTGGACATCCTCTGCTTGAATATCCTCCAGAACAAGAACACCGTCATGGCTTATCAGGATCTCGCGCTCATGGAGAAGGTTGTCAAGCAGTTCGAACGCTTTTCCTCCGAGCTCGGCCATAACATCATATCACACACCGCCAACCTCTTGTACCTCGTCGCCGCGCACGGGATCCGGCGGCCCAAGGCTATCATCGCGCAACCGGCCACGCAGCAGCCCCCACCTCAGCAGCTCCGGAACATGGATGCGTGGAACGATCCCAACTTCGTCTGCACGGAGCTCCCGGCGAACCCCAACATCTACCACCCGTTCCAGCCAGATCCGGGTCTTGCCGAGTTCCCGAACCAACCCTTCCCCGACCACGCCCATCAGGATATGGCGCAGATGGGCGGCCAGATGGGCGAAGGCGCGGGCGGGTTTCTAGGGCCGCCGGCTACGTCGTCGGCGGATATACAGTGGCACGTCCCGGCTGCTGGCTACAATGCTGCTGCTGACGGCCAGGCCGGGGGCATCTCTTTCTACATCAGTAATCCCTGACGCGTATACGAATATGGTATGGGGTATATTATTGGGCATCGAAGGGGCAAGGGGGGATTTGGGTTGGGTCTGGGTCTGGGGTTGGGGGTTGGGGGTTGGGGGTTGGGGTTGTCTCTGGAGTTTGGGTCTACGTTCAAAATGGAACATTGGAACAAGACTTGGAAAGGGGGAGGGGATTTATGGTTTCTGGTTTGTTTTTTTTTGGGCTAACCCGCGCCTCGGCAGGCTGGCTAGCAGCGGCTGTTCTCCGACTCACAGTCCACGCAGACAGAGTTTCTCAGGTACGATACGGTACGGATACGGTTTCTATATATAGAACCAAGAGAGGGAAGAGAGGGATGTCTGAGGTGCGAAACATATGTACATCAACTACAGGATATTGATCAGTACTTCTAAAACGCGGATCTCGCGAGACGAGACCTGCCAGAGCACGCCGTTGGAATTGAAAGCTGGAGTAGGTGAGTCATGGTTGGATCTGATTCCGACCCCGTCTTACTCGCGGCAAGGCAGAGAGATCAGCTTCGACGGAAGTATCACGCACCACATCTCAGCCCTAGGAAGAAGGGATCTTCTGATGGCGACAGCTCCATCTCGTGGTCCCGATTGCCGCGTGCCCGATCAGCGAGCCGAAGCTTCGAGCTCAATTTAGAAACCTGCGCGGACACACGCAGCAGGTGGACGACGGGTAGACGATCAACACTGGTGGAACGACGCCCAAGTGCCGGGCTCGACAGCCGGGCTCGAAGCTTGTGGTTCGATAAATGGGTCGAGTACCTATCAGACCCTATCGGCAGCGCACCGAAGGGGGGAGGGGCGGGGGCTATCGAAAATAAGGTCCGTCAGGGGGGCCGTAACAGTACAGTAAAATGAAAGGATCAATTTGAGGGATGACCCGATTTATGGACGGCGCTGGATATACGCTGTAATTAGTAGTAACACGGGGTTCTGGTTTCGCGTTTCCGCATCGGGTAGGTAGCTAGCGCAGCCCCTGTCTGGAGTATTCTCTTCCCCGCGTAATAAGAAATATAGTCGTACGTAGTACGTAGTACTTGTACCGGTACTACGTAGTACCTGGTACTACTATAGGTAGTCGATGTGCAGCAGTCAGTAAACAGGTACCGGTATAGGAAGATCGCCTCCCCAGGCTTCTTACTCGCAGCACAGGTCAACACGCCCACGTGCGTTCGGTGTGTTTGTCTCGGTTTATTGCGGACGGAATTTCTCACCAGATGCCTATAGAGAAAGAGAAAGAGTAAGAGTAAGAGTCAGACTAAGAGAAGGAGAAACAGAAGGGGGGAAGAGAAGGAGAAAGAGATAGCCTTATTTCCTTCTCTTCCCCCTTTTCCCCAGGGTTGCTTTGCTTATTTCCTCTGTCTCCAAGTACTGTAACGACTAATTTACAACTAGTAGTACGTAGTAGTAGTACGTAGTAGTAGTACGTACGCAGTACATACAGCTAAAACAAACCCCTATCCTTCCTAATCTCAAACTCAATCTCAACCTCAACAAGCCTTCGGGATATACGTAGTATCCGTAATACTACCAGTAGCACTGCAAGTACTATTACCACGTACGTAGTACGTAGTATACGTAGTAGATGATATTTTTTTACGCCCGATAGGGCAGAGTACGAAATACGGAGATACGGGAAACGTTACTAAACTCGACCATACTCTGCTCTACACACGGAACTTTTTTCTCTTTTGGGAATTGAAGGTGAGCAGAATACTGACGGGGTACAGCTAGCTGTAATTATCTAGTTGTAGTAGTATATACTAGGTACCTGACCCGACCTGACCCGACTGCCCTGAGCTGACCGGACTGACCTGACTGACCTGATTGACCTGATTGACCTGATTGACCTGACTGACCTGACTGACCTGACCCGACCTTATTAATTCTTCAGCCCAGCGTGTATTTCCCATCCGCGGAAAGAACAGAACAAGAAGCGGAAAAAAGAGGGGTTTCCTGATCATTTTCAGGGAAAGAAAAGAGGGGAAAGGGGGAGAAGGTGTAAGCGAGATTGGGCAATTTCAAGCGACATCGGGCAGGTCCGAGCGAGGAATCATCCGTAGTCGTACGTACTACTACCTACTAGTAGTACGTAGTACGTCCTGTACTACTCTGTGCTTGGTTACTGGTTACGGAGCAAGGTCTCCGTAGCCAACCAAACCCCCTGACTCTGATCCCCTGCCTGACGACTCCACCCCCGCTCCCCCCTCCCCACTTCCCCCCGGGCCCCCAGCCCTACCTTACTCCTTACTGACTGTACTTACTACTACTTACGGTACTAGTGCCACAAATATGCTCAATGTCATCATGATCAGAAAGTGTAAAGGCCGGTATCCGGGTTCCCAGCCAGACCTTGTTTGTCTCTTCTCTTTATTTTCTTCTTCTGCTCCTTCGTCCTCTTCCTCTTTATCTTTTTTTTGTCTATTTTAAGACCGTTCTTGCTACATACAGTACGAGAAGCGAGAGAAACTGACGCGCACTCTTTTTTATTTTTATTTTGAGAAGAGTGGTGGTAATCATCATCGATTTCCTATCCCCTCTCTAAGTATCCATCTATCTATCTATCCAGTCTCTCTCTCCTCTCTCTCTCTCTCTCTCTGGGCCTTAGAGCACAACTCCCGAAACGCACTTGCCCCCAGGGGCTTCAGGTGAAGAAGGACCAGCTAAGTACAAGCAAGCGTTACTGACTCGTAGTAGCCCCTCGTCGACGGAATGAGTTCTTGATAATCTGATAGATCAAAAGCAAATCAATAGTGGAAGTCTTGCGCGGTCAGTCAATCAATAAATCAATCAATCAATCCAATCCAACAGAAAAAAAACAATCATGGGGATCCTACCCAGGGCCGTCTTGGGTTGATAAGATATCGTATGATCAATCGCGAGCTATCCAGAAACAAGAGTTGACTATGGTGGCTTGGCTCTGGAGGTTACTCTATACGTAATACAATTGGGAGGTCGGATTAGTCACTCGATCTCACCCATCCGTCGTAAGTAAGCCAGAGGCGGTTCTGCTATCCCGGCTCGGAATTACCTTGTCCTCCGTCCGGCCTTCGCTAAAGACGGGGAAGGGATACGGACGTCTCTGTAAGCGACAAATCAATTTAAATAAATAAAAGACCACGAGGGTTCAGATGTGGCAATTACAATTACAACTATCATTGGGGTGGGGAGGGAGGGAGAGATGGTGTTGAGGGTGTTGAGGGAAGGCTTGCAAGGGGAGGGCGGGAAAACCGACGATTATGAATTCTAAGCTTTTGTGAAGAGGCATGCCGTATCGTGAGTCCCATTTGTTTCCTTCAAGCTACGTTGGAGGACTCTGTTCAGTATGTTAGCTTCTTGCTTTCGTTAATTGTCTTTTTATCGGTGGCTTTTATAGCATGAGCTGGATGGGCAGGGTATGAGTATGAGTATGAGTATGAGTGTGAGTATTGTGAGTATGAGTATGAGTATGAGTATGAGTATGAGCATGAGCATGAGCATGGATATTCTCAAAAAGACTTTCAGCCTAACAACAACCACGCCCATCTCCCTCCCAGTCTTGACACCACCTCCCCATATCCACAATGTCTCGCAAAAGAGAGTGACGAAGTTCAACGTCCGACACGGCGTCTCCTGTCACTCAATTACCATTCCCATCATCGATACCATCTACTCACAACAAGCCAGACTCAGATTTAAAAAAAAAAAAAAAAAAAAAACCCAACGCTCCTGCAAGAAGCAGCAGGCAGGCGGACAAGCCAATCCAGTCCAATCCAATCCAAGCCCATACCAGCCATGCAGATGCCCACACGACACGCCCCCTCAGCACCCTCTCCGTAGATGGCATCCCACCCTCTCCCATCCTCGTCCCGTGCCATCCTACTCTTTTTTCCCCGTTCGCACTCCCGCGCAGCGTTCCGGTTCCGTACCGTCCCTGGATACCCTCATGGTTAGCTTAGAAGAGCCGGCCCTTCCAAGCTGAGCGCGTGGATTTCCGTGCTCCGCTGGTTGTCCCAGCTCGGGCCGTATCTAGCCAGCGAGCGAGCGAGCGAGCGAGCTCGTCCATCGCGCCTCCCCGCGAGGCCGCGCGCGCAAGGTCGTTCGTCGGTCGTTTGCCAGCACCGGTGTCGGGGTCCGGAGACGGAGACGGAGACGGAGGCTGGTTTTCAGAGGTAGAGAGATGGGTCGCGGGAACGGGCTGGATCTCGTCTCGCCTCGGCTATCTGTCTGCAAACGGGACGGGGATTTCGCGGCTCTGGTTTTCTGAGTGGCGATGTGGCGGCTGGCGGGAAGGAGATGGCCAGGTGGGAGGAGGTAGGTCAGGTAATGGGGTTATTGGGCGAGAGGGCCATATCGTTGAGACGGGGTCCGAAGCGTTGAGACGGAGTCCGAAGCGTTGTATCCGATCAGGCACGAGTACAGATAGAGAGCGCGGTGCGGCCTCGTTACTTTCCTATTTTGGTCAGTCAGATGCTCACTTGATGGCCTCTTATTCGGTAAGTCACACATCTATCTCACCGAGGTCACAGAGCGAGCCGGTTAAGAAAGGAAAAGTCAATTTTGAAAAAAAAAAAAAGAATGAATTCCATGCCAACGGTCTACATCGTGGGTTTACAAAACAACCTGTGAAGAAGAAACACACCTCGTCGTCCGTCTCAGCCAGCAGAGACGTCCATCGCCCATCCAAGGGCCCTCAGAAGGCAGCATTGGCCCGAGTCCAGGACGCCAACCTCTCCGGGGTTGCCGCCACACCCAGACATCCCATGTACGCCTCGAATCCAGGCTGGCCCCCGGCCTGCAGCGCCGTTCGGACCGCAGGATCGCACTGCGTGGTCAGGTACCACGCGGCAGAGGCGAACGAGTACTCGTTCGGCCGGACCAGCGCGCGGATGGCGTTCAGCGCGTCGTCGCTGAGCCCCGTCGTCGTCGGCTGCGTGGTGATGGCGCCGAGCTGGGCGGCCAGCTCTGGAATCGACTGGGCGTACTTCAGCACGAAGGGGGGCATGAGCATGGCCCTGGTGCCCTGGCCCGGCCGCCCTGGCGCGGGAAAGTGGTTGGTGTTGTACTTGAAGTCGCCGCTTTCGAAGGCCACGACTGACAGGACAGCTGCGATCTCGGGGGTCGCGTAGATGTTGTACTTGGCCATGGCGGCGACGAGGAAGGGGGCGGCGTCGGCGTTCGTGGTGCACTCGTCTGGGGAGGGGGCGTTGGTGCATGAGCCGGACGTTGGGGCAATCGCCAAGATCTGGTCGACTGCTTGGGATGCTCGAGGGAGAACAGCCGCGGAAGCCAGGCTGGCGAGCAGGCTTGCTTGGAAGAACTTGGTGAGCATGTTTTCTCTTGAGGAGCGTCGATCTCTGTGTCTGGGGGTCTTGCTTTGTAGGAATAGTAAGTATTTTATGCGATGGTCTTGGAGAAGCTCTAGGAACAGAGCTCAGGAACCGTTGTAAATAATCTAGAGGCCGGTCTGAGGAGCATCCGGCAGTCTTATGGCGATTACAAACGTCCTGTTCTCGTCTGGCTTCCAACCCTTCTTTGACTGTACAACAGGCACAAGTTCATTGTAGGGTAGTTTACAATAGCTTTGTGCGTCCGAGGCGGCTCGAAAGGCTGATCAAAGAGGGTGTCTGAAAGAAGCACAACAAAGAGTGTTCTCGGGACTTCTTAGCGAAGGACTCTCAAGCACCTAAATAGATGTCGTCGAAGCTGGGGATTAATAGAAGAAGGCACAAGAAGCCACGCGCGATTGCGCATCAGGGGGTTAGCCCGTTGAGAGCTTTCGAGCCGCTGCGGCGAAGACATCGTGAAGTCCGGATCGAACATGGCCAATGTAGAGCCGGAAGTGGGCGGAGTCGAGGATATTTCAAGCATCGCGGGATGGATGGGGGGATGGCTCAGCCAATGATCCGCCAGAGATGCACCAGGAGGTCGCCTTGTTGCGGTTGAAGCTTTTGGGACGACGTTTCAGAGAGAGATCAGGGACAACATCGGGCGCCTCGCTTAAATTTTGCCCCTTGTTGAACACCAACCGAGCTACAGAGATGTAAGTAAGGTAGGCCAGTTAAAAGTCTAGACACGGCAAGCATAACGAAAGGATCAGCAGGTGGGCAAGTGATCGCGATGATAGCTATAGATGACTCGAGTCCGGAGAATGATAGATCTTACTCCCAAACCAGAGAGAAAAGCTCATCGCCACTGAAGACCGACAGCCTGGTATGCATCCAACTTCAGCTGATATTGACTGATATACATACATGCATGCATCTAGCTTCTACCCCAGTCCGAATGTAATCGCAGCCAGCCTCCTGGCCGGGCCTGGACTGGACTCCATGGATACCGTGGTTGTTTCAGTTTCAGCCGCCACACGACAAAAAAAGCGAAAATAAACACAGTCCCTATTGCACATCCCGCCCTCCTTGACGCAGAAACGCAAATCTGAAAGCAAAAACCTGCCTTCCTGCTTCCTCGCCGGTTCCTCACCGGCAAAAACCCCCGGACCTAGCCTTTTTCTTATGGTTGAAATATTACTAACAAACTCAGGCCAAAAATGTCCAATTAAAACACGCACTACGTACCCTCCTCGATCTCAAGCAAGGAAACCAAAGCAATACTCTGATATTGTTCCAGGCCTGTAGCGAATCTCGGTCTACTAATACTCTCAAGACCTGCACCAGTAACACCACCTAATGCGGGCGCCCCCTGATCACGCACCAACCTCCTTGAGACTCTTCACCAAATCCACAATACTCTCCTCCAACCCCCGAAACTTGATTCCCAGCACCTCCACACTCCTCTCATTACTCCATCCGTACAGGCCCTCCGCCGGCCTATCCCCCCCTTTCACATCGACGCCCGGCAACTGGTCCTTGTACTCGGGGAAGTTCTTGCGGATGATCTCGCAAATCTCCTTGTTCGTAAAGTAACCCGCCGTGAAGAAGAAACGCTTGTTCGCTGCCCCAGGCAGCTCCATAGCCTTGACGTGGCCGAGCGCCAGATCCCGCACATCTGTCCAAAGGAAGGTGCCCGTGTCAGGAATCTCTTGCTTGTTCTGGCCCGTGATCAGATTGCGAACGCGCTGGTTCGAGGTGTTAAGCGCCGACAGGTCGTTCAGGTAGTGCACAATGGGGCCTAGGACCAGCGGCGGGCACATGGTCGCGAGAGTGAAGTTCGGCTTTTCCTTTTCGACGAAATCCCAGGCGGCCTTCTCCGCGAACGTCTTGGAGGCCCGGTACCCGTTGCTGGGGTTCTGCACGGCCTCCGAGAGCGTGATTGGGTTCCAGTCTGCTTCTGTGTAGGTGTGTTCTGTCCAGCTGTTGCCTTTGGCGGCGTTGATGATGCTGGCGAAGCTGCTGGTAATGACGACGCGTTTTACTGATGGTGCGTTCTTCTTGATGGCTGAGAGAACGCCTTTTGTGCCGTTGATGGCCGGGTCTAGGAGGTCCTTCTTGGTATCCGTGACATTGAAGTGGAAGGGGGATGCGGTGTGGATGACTGCCTCCAGGCCATCGATCTTGACAGCTTCGTCAAAAGCGCCTTCTTGGGCAATATCCTCTACAATCTTGAAGGAGAGCTTGGAATCGGGGGTGTTGGGGTGCGCGGCTTTGATCTTATCTGCCTTGGCTTGGGAACGGACTGTTGTGATGACTTCGTGGCCGTGCTCAAGGAGGATGTCGAGGATATGAGCAGCGATGAAGCCGGAGCCGCCTGGAATGGATGCATTAGCATGTTCATTATGGTGGTGTCAAGGGAGAGAAGAGCACTGCGATAGTGGGGGTAATGGAGGGGTAACTCCAGCCAGCCAGACAGACCGTACGTACCTGTAAGAAGAACTCTAGTCATTTTGAGGATTTCAATTGAGTATTTTGGTAGAAGTCGGGTGTGAGGTCTGTAATAAACGAGAAATGTAAACAGAGGATCGGGGTTGTTGTCTTTATATGCGTGTTTTTAGACTCGGTACCAGCAACCGCGAGGGAAATGAACGTCATCATCTACATCCCCTATCATGAAGCAACTTACGTAGTGGCCCACTGCTGAGAGAATCATCCAATTAAACAGTCGGCCGGTATGCATCTCATTGGGTGGTTGGGTGTTGAGCTCGGCGATAAATTTTATCTCCGCCAGGATACCAGAGAATCCGTCTCTCCATATCTCCGACGAGATATGAAGAACGATAGTACTGCACGACTTGATCTATGCTGATATGATTGGGCTGAAAAGCCAAATTCTGCTGCTTATTTACATGGGATTGGATGGATTGGGTTGAAATCACTCACCCAGGATGCGATCCATGTACGAGCACAACCTGTCAAGAATGGAACGCCTCGATTTCTCAACAGGCCTCCCGATCATTTGTCCCCCATTACTTATACACCCCAGTCTATTATGCATATGCTAACTATGCTACCCAAACCCACCGTCTGTTTACTAACTATGAAACAGCGAAAACGTGTGCTCCGCAAGCGGGTATCTACACATAGAGAAGAGCAAGCAAATCTCCCAACGCCAGCGCTCAAATGAGACGACATAAAAAATAACAACAGCTCTCTGCTCCTGCCTTGCTCGGCTATTGTTGGAAAGCATGTCCCTTCCGGCCTCTCCCAATAGTCTTGAAACTACCACCTGCATCAATAATGTCAAATCGATTGATACCCATATTCTCCATATCCGTCATGCCGGAGAACCAGAAGCCGACGATGACAACCAGGTAGCTGAGCAGGAGAATGGATCCTTTGAAGTAGTTGCTCTTTCCTTCGCCGTACATGTAGCTGAGGAGGAAGACACAGAGGATGACCGTTACCATGTCCCACTGTGGGAAGATGAGGCTGAACGTATACTCGGGTCCAATGAGTGTGCTAGCGTTGAGAGCGCTGAAGAGTACCAGAGCAGGAATCTGGAGCAGGCAGACTTGAAGAGCATATGCCGATCCGATCTCCATGGATAATGCAATATTTCCGTTCATGGCAAATGAGATAGCGTTCTGTATAGTTAGCATACGAGTAAATTTTGACGGGCGATAAGTCTTACCAGAAACTCAGTTGTGTTTGGAACGAGGGCAAACAACGTAATTCCAAGAAACTTTTCATCAATGGCCACATTGGTCAATACCACATCAACGGTATTGACTAAAATTTCGGCAATGAGAGCATACAAAACGGTGGCACCGCACAGAATGATAGAACTCTTCGCTCTGCTCCAGTTTGGTGCATCGTGCCCACCTCCTGCTTGGGGCTCTACTAAGATAGGTACCTCCGGATTGGGAATTCCAGTTCTTGATGTCTGCTTGGTCTGAACAGGCGTTTGAGCGAGAAGGGACGTTCTGCGGGGAGCTTTCGTGGCATTCCTGGCCGCGATGGTGGCAGCAGTAGCTGCCATTTCGGCAACTTCATGAACCAGGTTGGTGTTCTGTGCCTCAGTGAAGCCTGGGATTTGAACCTCGGACCTGGTACTCTCCGCACCACTACTCTTTGGCGGAGGAAGGTGAAGGGTCTGGGCAGATGCACTACCATTACCACCGAAAGATGTCCCCTCAGCCATCGAGGTGTGTCGGCTTCCATCCCGTGGACCAAGACCGACTTGTTTCAGGGACTGCCCAAGTATTCGTTTGTATAGTTGCGAATCTCGGATCTCGGCTCCCTGGGCTTCTGCCGCGCTGCCCTGTGTGCTACCGTGTCTCTGGAGTCGTCCATGGGGTGCGCCGCCAAGAGGTTGCTGCTGACCAGATACGTGATGGATTTCTTGTACCTTCTTCTCATCTACTTCATTGTTCCAAATAACCGCTGCATGTGTTCGTAAGGTAAACCACAAACCGATTACATAAGAAAGGAATAGAAGAGTAGCTGCGAACCAGCAGTATGGCCGAACAGTCTCAAGGTAGAATCTGTCATTAAGCGCTGTGACTTGAGAGAAATAGCAGCGACGACAATCGCGGCCCGGAGGAGCATCCTTACTATCCATGCAGCTGAGACAGTTGAGCTCATGCTAACAGAACGGTCAGTCCTTATCCTACGATAGATATTGGATTACTCACAGTGCCATATATCTGATAGAAAAGCGTGGGTCCAAAGGCGGCAATGACAGCGAAGAGAAGCATCGTAGACGTGACACCAGCCGACTTGGCATTGAAGCGCTGAGTCTTCCGCTTGATCGCTCCGAAGCACATGGAAAGGCCCGGGAGAAAGAGGATACCAGCGAAGATGCTTCCGATGATGCTTCCTTCCACGAGTTGGCCCTTGCCTTGCTTCAGTGCCACACAGTAAAGGAATACCTCTACCAGGGTTGAGAAGAAAGCATTGATGGCCGCACCAAGACCCATGGATGATTGAGCGGATATGGACGCAACTGCTTGCCCGATGAAGTATGCCAGTGGAATGATCGATGCCAGTGCCGCCGTAAAAAGGAACACGGGACCGGTGATTGTCAACCCTTCCCATTCAAGGGCTTCCACAAGCACCCAGTAGTCAAAGATGACAAACAAGACAACAGCCATTAAGTTGATCAAGAAAATGTTCGTTCCATCAACAGTATACTTCCAATACTTGATACCTACGGCGCGGTATGTGCAGAGTAAGATAGAAGAGTTGGGAATAGCACCACGTGAGTAGTCCGAGTCATACTGGAAGGAGAGCGCCAGTGGATGGCGTCGAAGGTGGTAGAAGAGAAGCATCGTAACTTTACCCATTGGAATCCAGAAGACGAGGAACCAACAGATGCCGGACACGAGGAACAGGAACGGTGTAATGAGACCATAAAAGAATAGGAAGAAAATTACACGGCCGGTGTTCCATTCCCCTCTGCCGAAAAGTCTTCGCTTGAGGGGGCGTTCGGAGTCATCTCTTGTAGGTCTCCGCATAGAACGGCCAAGGAGACTGTCGGTTTCGCTGGCGAGGGACTCGAGGCTTCTTCTCGAACGTCCCACTATCGATCGATTCCCTTGAGGACCGAAGAAGAGTCGACCGTCCTCAATGTCGCCACTCTGCCATTGTTCGTACTCGGTAATACTGCGTCCCTCGCCCTCGTCCTCCTCGGCATAAGCTTCGTCCTGTTCCAGCCGTACGAACTTCCCGAAGGGGTAGAACAAATATCCTGAAACTCCCCATAGCACTCGGCCATACTCGATGGCACTGGGTGCAGCACCGAATACAAAGCACACTGCCGCCCCAAGAAAGGCAATTAGAGCAAGCCACCATCCGAACCATACAGTCCACAATATATTGAAGAAGAGAAGCCAATTGCTAACTCGGCCCCCAGGCGAGGAGTGGATATCGCCCTCGGCAGTCTTCTGCACGGATCTGCTCTTCTTGTAGAGTGCAGGCTTCCAGATACGTATACCGAAGGGATGAGTTTCGTTTATAGCCTCCTGGCGATCCTTCAAAGTAAAGCTCTCGGCATCGCTCAAGTCGTCGTCGTCGTCGTCGTCTTCATCTGGGGTTGCATCGTCTAGATTTCGTCTGGTTTCTTCCGCTCCAGATTCGCTGGCATTATCGGTCGGAGCTGTATCACCAGTGACACTTCCAGCTTCCTGTTCAGCCTCGGCCTCCTCCTCTCCACCTCTGGACGAGTCGACCCTCGACAGCATTGGTTGGGCGTTTGGGCGCCGCCTCAAGGTTGCTGGTTGATGTCTAGTTGACCCGAATCCAGTGGCACTGTGCCTGCTGCTAACCATATCATCCTCTATCTCGGCAACATCGTCGTCCACCGAGAACTCCTGGCCACGGTGTGGTGCTTGCACATTGGAAGATGCTCGACGAGGCATGCCGGGTTTCTTGGGTCGTTGGCCTCCTCGACCACGTTCAGGGCCTAGCATAGGTGATCGTGTGGGTTGAAGGGATCGAGATGATTCCAAGCTTTGAGGCTGTGGTCGTTCGCCGGTCTGGGAGGAAGCTTCACTTGGCCGATGCTCTGAGGTACCGGTATGCGAAGGGGTCTGGTGTAGAATAGAACCTTCACAACAAAATTAGTCTTGGCTGTATTAATTGTGAAGTACACGCTAGGGCTCCACTAAATTCCAGACAGGTAACTAGTTTACTGCGTGCCTACCGTATGACTGTGGTTGCTCGGGACGCCGTCTGATTGTATCTGTAGACTGGAAGCTCTCTGATAGCCCTTCATCTTGCTTCGGGAGCTGTTCAGAGACCGACTGAACTCTCGATAGAGGGTGCCGAATGTCGGTTGGGGAGGATGGAGTCGAGATATCAGGAGTATTCTGGGCAGTCCTGACGGGACCCGGCGTGTTGTTGTGATTGTCTTTGGCAGACATGTTGTTGTTGTTGTTGTTGAGGTGGCTGTGGCTCGTATGTTATCTTAAATATCGCACGGCACATCCGTCCTTTTGGAATGGGTGCGCTTGCAGGATTGTTCAGAAGCGGTGGTGTTTGTTTTTTGTGTTGTCTAAGGAGAATCGCGTTGGTCGCAAAGAAGTGGGATGGTGAGGATCCAGGGAAGAAGGCAAAGAAATGCAAGACATTCGCGAGCGCAAGCGGGCGCAAGCGCGCAAGAGGTGGGTGGTGGAGCGTTCTTTCTCAGTTTCACAGTACCTACTGTACTCTACTTTGCAAAGTACAATCGCCGTGTAGAGCGCATTAAGCGGGAAGTGAAGGGAAGGTATGTAATAAGTATTATATTATATTGTAGTGGAGGCGAGTGAAGTAAAGGTAGATAGTGAGGCGCGCAGAGTTATCAACCAACCGCGCCAATGGTAGTAATGATATTAATGATAATTCTCTTCCTTTCCCTCCACTCCACACCAAGCCACGAGGGGCGCGCACGAGATGCGTGTGCTGCATGCCCGACCAGAACCCCAGCATGGATGGCCTTACCTCAACATTAGGCGCCCCGAACAAAAGTGGCAGAATTCACGTGATCCTCGTAAAATCAGACCATTTTGGTGAGGATAGCTTTATTGAGAAGGCGGTGAGCCAGAAGACCTGACTCTGAGGTAAGGATGGCCGACCAGCCTTGCATTTGAAGCCAAGAACCCCCCTGCCCTTATTATGTAAGCTTATAGAACTGAACGCGTTTTCCACCTGTGCCTGGAGCTCCAAGCGTGAAGTCAGTTCGGTCGGCTCCAGCGAACATCAACATCCACGACCACATCTACATCTCAGCCTCAGCCTCTCCAGCACAACTTCCATTTCTAAATCGCAACCCCCTCCCCCCCATCCACCCCCTCCCGCAAATATCCACTCCTCCCTCACATTATCATGGCGCTCGATACTTACTACCACAATAAGATCGAGGGCATGAAGCTGGAGATCATCCAGGGTCAAGCTGTCCTGCGAAGACTAGAGGCGCAAAGAAATGACTACAACTCCAGAGGTGATTGATTGATTTCGACTGCGATCTCTATGGTCTACATACGGGCTGACACATGGCAGTGCGCCTTCTGCGAGAGGAGCTTGGCTTACTACAACAGCCAGGCTCGTATGTGGGTGAAGTGGTGAAGGTGATGGGGACGAAGAAGGTCTTGGTCAAGGTGCACCCTGAGGGCAAATACGGTAAGGGTTGCAATTGAAGATCCTACCACCGGAGCTGACCAGAATCTATCCAGTCGTGGATATCTCCGACAATGTCGACATCTCCAAGCTCATCGTTGGAAAGCGCGTTACCCTTCTCTCCGACTCGTACAAACTCGAAAAGATGCTGCCATCTTCCGTCGACCCGCTGGTATCTCTTATGATGGTGGAGAAGGTTCCCGACAGCACGTACGACATGATTGGAGGTCTGGATCAGCAAATCAAGGAGATCAAGGAGGTTATCGAGCTTGGTCTGAAGCACCCCGAGCTCTTTGAATCTCTCGGGATAGCCCAGCCTAAAGGAGTGCTTCTGTATGGACCACCAGGAACCGGAAAGACGCTTTTGGCAAGAGCTGTAGCACATCACACCGACTGCAAGTTCATCCGGGTTTCTGGTTCGGAGTTGGTACAAAAATACATTGGTGAGGGTTCGAGAATGGTTCGGGAGCTGTTCGTTATGGCCAGAGAACACGCACCGTCTATCATCTTCATGGATGAAATTGATTCCATCGGATCGTCGCGGGTGGAGGGCTCATCTGGTGGCGACTCTGAAGTTCAACGCACTATGTTGGAGCTGCTCAATCAGCTGGACGGTTTCGAGCCTACGAAGAACATTAAGGTCATCATGGCTACGAATCGATTGGATATCCTGGACCCTGCACTCCTGCGACCAGGACGTATCGACCGGAAGATCGAATTTCCACCTCCAACCGTCGAGGCCAGAGCAGACATTCTCCGGATCCACAGCCGAAGCATGAACTTGACCCGTGGAATCAACTTGACCAAGGTGGCAGAAAAGATGAACGGGTGCTCGGGCGCTGAGTTGAAGGGTGTGTGCACAGAGGCTGGTATGTACGCGTTGAGGGAGAGGCGTGTGCATGTTACACAGGAAGATTTTGATTTGGCGACGGCGAAGGTCTTGAACAAGCACGACGATAAAGAAGTATCGCTCGGAAAACTCTGGAAGTAGAGGATGGGGTAATAGAGAGCATACTTTTCAATACGAGCTGTATAACAATAGAAAAATATTAGGTCATTGCTGGACTTTTCTGCTGAGTACCTTTTCTGGATGTGGATGCTTTTTGCCCTCCAGACGAGAGTGGGCTTCGGTCGGTTGTTGCTCTTTATGGGCACGTTGACCTCACAGGGTTTCTATTGCACGTCAATTCGTACAGTGTATTGTGAAATTGACGTACAACACCTCCTGACCTTACCTCGACAAGCTTAATGTGTTGTTTCTCCTTTCATATTAACTTCACTTACCGCCTTAAAAAGTCAGTTCTAGATCTGCAACCCGATTGCCCAGAAGTTCAGGCCAAGCTTGTTCGGTGGCGGATGCCCCGGTTTTTGTTGTGAATACATTTACGGTACTGTCCCTAGAGAGATTTTAGGGGGATCGAGGGCAGGGTCCACTCGAGTGACGTGTGAGCTTAAGGGATCAGACAAAAACAGTTGAGAGCTCGAGATCTTCGTCCGGACATCCTATCGTGAGCTATACGTTTTGGTCAACGATAAACTGTTCAACAGACGACCACAATCACATAAGGGCTTCGATCTTCTATTATTCCACCCAAAGAGACAATTGCTATCCATCCACAGACGCGGTCAATTTCTGTACGTCTCTCCCTTAGTTCTATAGCTCTCACCGTCCTGTACGCAGTAACTCATCGGAAAAATTCTCGTACGACAGAAGGCATTGAACAGGAGAAAATGTTCAAGAGCAATCGCATTCATTCAAATTGTAAAGTACAAGGCTAATCCAGACATGGACGGACAGCCTTGGACGTAATTCAATATGGCTCAGATGCCGTTCCGACAGAACTTCAGGAAGCCTTCGAGGCAGGCCTCAATGGAGTATGGCTCATACCCTACATTTCTGAATCGAAGCATACATAACCTATGCTAAAAAAAACAGTCCTCACAATGATTTGAACCCACACATGGACCACTACATTGGAATCGACGTGGGAACTGGCAGTGCCAGAGCCTGCATCATCGACCAGCATGGTGACATCAAAGCCTGTACGCAACCTAAACAAAGCCCTCTATAATTGCTACCAAGCTGACCCCTACGAGTGGCCACAGAGAATATCGGGCTCTGGCAGCCAGAGACCGGCTACTACGAGCAGTCTACCACCGACATCTGGAGATGTATCTGTACCTGTGTGCAACGAGCTCTCAGCCAGCATAATATCGACCCTACAACCGTCCGTGGAATCGGGTTCGATGCGACCTGCTCACTCGCGGTATTCGCGCACGATACAGACGAGCCTATGCCTGTCACCGGCCCCAACTTCGCCAACGATGGCAACGACCGCAATGTCATCCTGTGGCTCGACCACAGACCCGTCGAGGAGGCAGCGAAGATCAACGCTACCGGGCACAACCTTCTTCGCTACGTGGGAGGCAAGATGAGCATCGAGATGGAGATCCCAAAGGTGCTATGGCTGAAGAACCACATGCCGCCCGAGATGTTCGATCGCTGCAAGTTCTACGACTTGGCTGATGCGTTGACGCATTTGGCGACTGGTAACGAGACGAGGAGTTTCTGCAGTACGGTCTGCAAGCAGGGATATGTCCCTGTGGGTGTTGACGGTAGCGTTAAGGGATGGCAAGAGGACTTTTTTGAGACAATTGGGCTGGGTGATTTGGCCAAGGACAACTTCAAGCGCATGGGTGGAGTTGACGGGGTGGTGAGCCATTTTTTGTTTGATCCTTTTTCTGTGGGCTGTGCTAACATTGGGTAGAACGGAAAGTACTTGAGTGCTGGTGAGCTGGTAGGAACGCTAAGCGAGAAGGCTGGTAACGAGCTTGGTCTCCCAGCCGGAATCGCAGTCGGCAGCGGTGTCATTGATGCCTATGCCGGCTGGGTCGGTACAGTCGGTGCCAAAGTCAACCTGGGTGCCAACCAACTCGATGCCGGTTTTCCCAAGAACGACAAGTCTCAAGCCTTCGGCCGTTTGGCTGCCGTTGCCGGAACATCCACCTGCCACCTGGCAATGTCCAGAGATCCCGTCTTTGTCGAAGGAGTCTGGGGTCCCTACCGAGACGTCCTCCTACCCGAGTTCTGGATGGCCGAAGGCGGCCAGTCCGCTACGGGCGAGCTGCTCAAGCACGTCCTCGAGACGCACCCAGCGTACAACGAGACCATGTCTATGGCCGAATCCTTCAACACCAGTATCTACGATTACTTGAACTCCCACTTGGAGGAGATGCAAGAGAAGATCTCGGGCCCTACAGTCTCCTACCTCGGCCGGCACTTCTTCTTCTACGGCGACCTCTGGGGCAACAGGTCGCCCATCGCCGACCCCAACATGACGGGCTCGGTCATCGGACTTACGAATGACCGTAGTATGGACGGCCTAGCGCTGTACTACTATGCCACGATGGAGTTCATCGCTATGCAGACGCGGCAGATCATTGAGACGATGAACGCCGCCGGCCACTCCATCACCAGCATCTTCATGTCTGGCTCGCAGTGCCAGAACAAGATCCTGATGGAGCTCATGGCCACGACGTGCTCAATGCCAGTACTGATCCCGCGCTACGTCCACGCAGCCGTCGTCCACGGTGCGGCCATGCTGGGGGCCAAGGCGGCCAGCGCCGACAAGGAGGGCAACACGGAAGATCTGTGGAGTATCATGGACCGCATGAGCAAGCCTGGGAAGGTGGTCAAGCCGGGAACGAACGCCGGGGAGAAGAAGCTGCTGGATATAAAGTACAAGGTTTTCCTTGAGCAGTGCAAGACGCAGCAGCAGTATAGGCAGAGCGTTGATGAGGCGATTGAGGGTTGGGCTACTTAGCTTGGAGCGAGCTAGCTATTTAACTAGTAGATCGACGATAGCTACGTTGAAATGTGGTGAAAGCATCGCCCTTCAAGGCAAAGTGAAGAGCTTAGAGAATAGATTCGTTGAATCTTGAAGAGCCTTGCATGCATGTTGCCGCCCTCTCCAGTTGCCCATTCCATTGTTTCTCCTGTACGCACACTGAAATCTCTCGATGCGAGTGGAGCACTACATTCCTACCACGCTGATCAGCCGTGGTTCCAGTATATGGATATGAAGTTGGCTTGAGGTTGAGCTCGATGGGTTTCTAGCTGAGGGGGTATCTGATAGATCTGGTATATAATATGATTCTTTCTCGCTTGATCACTTGCATAGTTCTGCTTCCGTGATTATTCGTTCACTGACAATGGAAGCTCAATTGCTTGCTCACCTGCTTACCTAGGTACCTATTGATCCGTTTGCCAATATCTCTCTTTTACTTACCTTTCACTTCCTTTCACCCACTTTATTTCTTTTTTTCTTTTTTTCATTGCTTCCTTCATTGGTTGGTTCCTTCCTTCCTTGGCTTGCGGACATAAGCCAAGTCGGGAAATATCTATATAAAATATTAATACATGAGTATTTGAATATATTACCTTTGGGATTCATATTCTGTCTGCTAACCCTCGGCTTTTCTTTTGAACTGATTATGGTATGAAAGCTGACGGGAGGGTTTAAGGTAATATGATAGAGTTGGATGGAACAGACTTAGATGGGGTGTCTAGATGCTACCTAGGTCTTAGGTGTGATGTCGAGGCGGGTTTCGTGTATTCCCAGGTACTTACCTACCTATCTACCTAGGTACTACAAGCTAGGTATGTAACCTGTATGACTGTGGGGAGGATGGAAGGTTGCGGAATTTACCTAGAATGTGGTAGGGGTTGTTGTTTGTAAAGAGTCGTCGTAGACGACTGATTGATCCACAGGAAGCATGATCATGTTTCGAGTTCAGGCTTTGAATACATAGGAATTAAAGGGTGTCTAGACGAGTCAATCGGGTGTGAATGTACCCCGTATAGATAGTTAGTAAGAGAAAGAATCATACGCGCAGCGTGCTACGATCTGGAGATCATGTGAGTTTCTAGAGCAGTATTGGGACGAGGACGAGGACAAGGCAAATTTATAAGTGATCATGAGCAAGAGATTTTGCTCACTCGGAATGGAGAGAATAATATCTGAAATGGCACTATCCATCTGGATTTTGAAAGATCGATAATTTTCACGTCCTTGTATTCTAATTTGGGATCTGAATTTCGCTACAAGCACTGCGTCAGGCATAGACTTGCTAGTAGGATTCATCACGATTGAAAAATTTTCCTCACTTTCATACGATTTTTTTTGGGTGATATTGCTCCTGGAACCTCCAAGAGATGGGATATGCTCTAGGAAGTGCGATGACAGTGGGTATCTATCTTTCTTTTATGTACCTTTGAGCTCCTCTATGATCCATACTTTCATAGTATATCAAAGGTTCCGAATTCCCTTATAGAATTTGAAGCTTGAAAACCTGGCTTTCCGGATCTAAGGAAGATGGTTTCAACAATAATACTGATAAAGATATCTTCTATTTAAGAAAGGCAGGGGAAGGCACATCAACAGAGCCCAGAGTTGAAAGGACAGAACCCAAAGGGTTTACTTGGGTACATCCAACGGATAGTTTTCGATTTCAGAACACACACACTCATACAAAATATAGCGCTTGCGTTTCAAGATGCTTGAAGGAAGCCACCGGTCAGCAGACCTAGGAAAGACCACGAGATCAGGAACGTGTGATTAAGAACTTAAACAAACATTTGCCTCCTTTCAAAAGCTGCTGAGCTTAATAAGGTCGAAGCTTAGCCTACTTCGCTATCTTATTTCGATTTCGTAATATGGATAGAAACCAACGTTGTAATATGGACAGAAATCGAAATCCCCATATGAAAAGAAGCGATTCCTCTATACATATACAGGTAAGAGAAGTCAAGGCTGCTGGTCATATGGGTCATATGAATAGGCCAAGAGATGTCTCGCTTACTCTGGTTGGGTTTCCCACTCTTCTGGGCAGGTGTAGAGTCGAAGTCCATCAACGATGAGCTAGGGTAGCAGAGCAGCTGCCTTCTCTTGCCCTTCCGCGCCTAGGAACCAAGCTTCTTCCATCCTACATCAACAACACCAGACTATAATGTCTGCAGCCATCGCCGCCATGGGCATGCTGCCAATGAAACCTGATGATTTGGTATGGCTTCTTGTATCACCCTTGCACCACTGGATGAAAGGCTTTGTGGCCGTTTGGCTTAGACAGAGAAAGCAGCTGTCGCGGTACGTACAAAGCTACCAAGCACAGCTTGCCATTCGTGGCAGGCTCTGCTACCACTGAAGGTAACCCTCACTCTTCTATTCGCAGGAGCTTGATCATCCTGAGCAGGCCAAGAAGGAGGAGCATTTGAGCTACCTCACAGCCACAGCATGCGCTGGTCAAGGAGCGTCTCATCCGCAGAGACATTCCTCTGTACAAACGCGCTCATGGTACAGTTGGGCACTTGCTCATTGCTGATGCCGCCTTTCAGCCCCTCAGTAGCAACTGCGCTGACCATCTGACTGAAGGAGCTACCACACGAAGAGCTGTAAGATAGCTTGGAAATAAGCAATGCCTTCACCGAGTACCGCCATCCAGACTTTTACGATTTCAGGGACCATGCTAACATGCCTTCCCAGGGGATTCAGTCACTCAGTACAACACGATCCCATCATAATCACTGGTATGAGCCCTCTGCAACCTGAACGAATAGCACCCATGCCGCCGAATCCAAGATGTACCTCGAGACTCTTGCTCCCATGCCGTATACGTTCCGCAAAGTAGGATCAACAAGCTACAAGATTCTTTGCGAGCCTGCAAGCTGTTGGATGGATCTGCTACCTACCGATGCCAAGACGCAACTAACACACCGTACAAATTTCGTTCAACAGGAATAATATGCTGCGAGATCCATTTTGCGAGAGAGTATCCGTAGCAGAGCTCTGCGGCTCCCTTGGCAGACGAACACACGAGGCCCAACTGCAGGCCAAGCCAAACGATAGAAAATACCACGAATCCTGAAACATATCAGACATGCCAGACACCTGGCACTCGCGAAGATCTTCTTGGCTCGCCCCTATTGACGAAGTGAGGCACGGCTGAGTTCTTCAGCCGGGAACCTTGCAAAGGGGCTTCTCGTTTGCTTTCTGATATTTTGTCTGATCGCTGTCATGAGCAACCCAAGCATGTACCAGCTAAGCAACACACAAATTGTTTCGATTGCAAACTCCATATGGGGGTGCCAGGACCATCCAAAAAGCTTTGGAGCTGGTGAATTTGAAAATTTGCCCCCCCAGAAATTGCTGTTATTACTGCTAAGAGATTGCTTTTGCTGCTTCGTATGCTTTCAGAGGAGGTATCTGGGACGCTCGTACCCAAAAGTCAAGTGAGACTACCTTATACCATGCCTGCTCTGGTGCAACAGCCTTGCTTGTTTGCTCATGTCAATAGTATACGAGGCTGCTTGCTCTCAACCAATTATTGCGCCTCTGGCCAATGCACCTTGTTTATCTCTTCAACAAATTTTCTCGGCAACTTTGCTCTAAGTATGACTGGCTGAGCAGATCGCAGGCGTAATGCTAGGCGGAGCACTGACAAGGAATAATGCTTATCTCTTATATTCCGGGGAAGCCCCGAAGTTTCTCTGTGGCGAGTGCCAGGCAAGCAGCCTGTAAGAAAAGAGGATCTGCCCACGCAGGCTGCACGGCGTCTCGGGATAATGATACGCCGCAGAAGAGCTTTTGATGAAAGACTGAGGCTTGAAAAGCAATAGAGACAGAGGACAGATACGCACCACGTGTATCAGACAGCATCATTCCCTCCAATGTTCCTGTTGCCTTTTCAGCTTTGAGTGGCATTGCTGCTTGGATGCGAGAGCTGGCACGACATTCCCACGGAAGGCCTATTTGTTGCAGCTGACGAGAAGAGGGAGCCAAGCAGTGACAATAGCACAGTTGTGTTGTGTTGTCTGAGCGATTTCAAGAATCCTTTGGCGCAGTTCCTCCATACAGCCAGCTGAACTGTCGAGTTCGCCTTTCCTCCTGAATTCACTGTCTACTCCGTACGGGGTAGTTTAAGGATTTCCCGCTAGTCGGGAAGTGGAATAGACGGAGCCGCCGATCACTGTCCTCGCTAAGCTTCTAGAAAATTACCCTGTCCAGCTCACAACAACGATCAACTGTCCACCTCCGCAGGTTCATACTCCGTAGGCGCTCTCCGAAGGATTATTCTTGCACAAAGTCCTCGTGGATACGGTGTCTGCATTCCAGATCCTCCAAAGGAATACCACCCGTCCTGTCGGCACAAAATTACCTGTGTGCCAGCCACAGCACGCACAGCTGGCACAGCACGCACAGGGCAGCACAGCAAAGCCTCCGGCCGCGTTAAACGCCAATCCTAGTCTCGGTCTCCGATAGACTTTCAAAGGCCGACCTGGTGACACCTAACCAATCACCGCAGGACCCTGTCGATCAAGAAATATCTAGGAGCTACTTACTACTCCTACGATCATGCCTTCAGCCGTGGGCGAGCAGGCTGTACCCAGCGTCCCCAGCGTCCCCAGCGTCCCCAGCGCCCCCAGCGCCCCTAGCTCTGCAGCTACAGGTGAGTTACCCACAAAAGGACCCAGAACTTCGTGCCTTTTGTTAGTATAAGCAAAAGAAGCCCTCCAAAGACCCCGCTGCTAACTACGCACTGATGCAAAAGGCAGAACTACCCAGCATTCCGAGGTTGCAAAGGCGGCTATGGTGAACCGCATCATGGCGGCAGCAACTCTCGAAGACATAACCAACTCCGTCCTTCCACAACCTCTACACAACCCAACCAACTTTCTCGCCCCTTCCACTGCACACACCTCAGCTTTGGGTCGAGCCCTTCAGTCTCTCAATATGAGTAGCCCTACTTCACAAGATGGATCCGCCTCGCCCTCAATCAATACCCCCACGGGCAGCAGCCCCTCCACGGCTCCTGGCAGCCCGCGACTGTAAGATATCCTTCTCTCCTTTCCCAGCTCTCCCGCCTGGTCTCCAGGCATACGCCTCGCTTTTACGGTCCTCACCCGCTCTCTTTTGTCGTTGCAGAATTAATTGCCATTGCCCACTCTCGATTGAGTCAAACGTCTTTGCCTCAAAGTGCAATTATCGATGGGTTTGCTAAAATGTATATAGACCACCAGTCCGGCAAAACTCCGGCAGTGTGACTCCTAGAATTAGAGCTCCCGCCACCACCTTGAACATTCCCGGTATGACTCGATCTCGAGTCTCCCCCGACGGCAAGATCGCACAGAGAGATGTGGGCGCCAAGTTGGTTCTTGTGATGGTTGGCTTGCCAGCCAGAGGAAAGTCATACATCACGAAGAAGATCCAGAGATATCTCTCCTGGCAACAACATGAGTGTCGCATCTTCAATGTTGGCGCTCGACGACGAGTTGCTACCGGAAGCGGCCCTATATCATCACCTCAATCCCTTACGCAGTCGCCAAAGAAGAGTAGATCAAACCTCACTCCATCGATCGCTGGAATCGTCGACGCGCCAACAGAGGCTGCTCACGAAGCTGCCCAGATTCTTCTCAACGGAGTCTATAGTCCACTAAAAGAGGAGAACGACCTAGACAAACTGCCAAGCGCTGATACGATGGAGCAGTCCGCTGAGTTCTTCGACCCAAAGAATCAGAAAGCCTCGCAGATTCGTGAGCAGGTTGCTCTGTCAACTTTGAACGAGCTCCTCGACTTTCTTCTCCACGAGGGAGGATCGGTCGGTATCCTTGACGCTACAAACAGCACGGTCGAGCGCAGACAGATCCTTTTCAACACGATTAAGGAGCGCGAGCCCAAGTTAGGTATTCTCTTCATTGAAAGTGTCTGCGAGGACGAAAAGGTGAGAGTTACAACCAGACAAGCAGCCTCAGTCGCTAACAATCTCTAGTTGCTAGAGGCCAACATGCACCTGAAGCTGAAGGGTCCGGATTACAAGGATAAGGATCCGGCAAGCTCGCTCGCCGACTTCAAGAAGCGTGTCGCTGCATACGAGAGCGCCTATGCTCCATTGGGTAAGTTCGAAGAAGACAATAATATGCAGTACATCAAGATGATCGACGTCGGTCGCAAGGTTATCCATTACCGCCTCGAAGGCTTTCTCTCGAGCGGTATCGCCTCCTACCTTGCGACATTCAACCTATCGCCGCGGCAAATCTGGCTCACTCGCCATGGTCAGTCGGAAGACAACGTCCTCGGCAAAATTGGTGGAGACTCTAATCTCACCGACGCTGGCCACGACTACGCCACTGTTCTCTACAATTTTGTTTCGAGCAAGCGTGCAGAGTGGGAGGAAGACCAGAAGAATAGAGCTACTGGGGCTCAAGACCACACGTTACTGCCTGGCAGCCAGAGCCCACCATACCCGGACATCTTGGGAGATCTTGATGAGAAGAACTTCTGCGTTTGGACTTCGATGCTCCAGCGTAGCATCCAGACTGCTGAGCACTTCCAAGACGATGAGAACTACGACGTCAAGAACTGGGAGATGCTCAAGGAGCTGGACGCCGGTACCTTTGAAGGCATGACCTACGAGGAAATCGCTACGAAGTTCCCAGAGGAATATGCCAAGCGTCGTGCCGATAAGCTCAGCTATATCTACCCGGGTGTTGGTGGTGAGGGCTATCTCCAGGTCATCAGCCGACTCCGGGATATGGTTCGAGAAATTGAGCGCATCAAAGACCACGTTTTGATCATCGGTCACCGCTCCGTTTGCAGGGTCTTGATGGCCTACTTCATGGACCTTACCAGAAATGATATCGCCGATCTCGATGTACCTATCGGCATGCTGTTCGCCATTGAGCCAAAGCCATATGGCATTGAATTCCACGCCTACAAGTACAACGAGGACGGCTACACCTTCGATGAGATTCCCAATTACAAACCTCAAAAGGCCATTAGCGACACCAACTAATTTCTCTCGTCTTTTCTTCTCATTTGACTTGCATCTTCGGTTTGGGGGACAACGGATACTGGTGTTACGGATCGGTGTGCAGGAGCAAGGTTTCGGCAGTAAGGACGACGGCGTCCAGAGTTTTCTTCTACTTGCTTGCATGGCGATTTCTAACGATAAACGACAAAACATACGGGGAGTTCTGAAGAGGGATGGGATGTAAGAATACTGTGTGGGATATGGGATTGGGACATGGCATTGCTTTGGGAGTTGCTAGAGGATTTTTTCAGCGTCCTTACTAGCGTACGGTTTATACCCAGAAGGCTTGCAGGATGAGGTTGCTAGACATAAGAGGATTGCACCTGAGCGGTGCTAAATATGACGGTAGTATGCCTGCGATCGCGGGCAATACTACTACTGGCTGCATGAGCCTCAATCTCCAATTACAATAAAATTGCATCAAAACCATCTTCTACTAGGCCTAGGCTAGAACTCAGAGCTGCTTCTACAAAATGAAGTCTTACGATATCTAGCCTTCAATATGTAGCTTGTACATGTCCATTTCGAACCCTAGTGCGACATTGAAAAGCACTCTACGCCAGATCATTTTTCCTCGCGTTCCGAGGTCGCGTCGTTGGGTTGACGACATCTCAGAGGAACCTGCCCCTCACCACAACCTTGCAAATGGACCCATTTCTTAGATGCTGTCGTTTTTTCACTCGACAAGCCTGACTCCTTCGACGCCATCACCGGCTGGAGCTGCATCTGTCCCTTCCTCCCCTTGTAAGTATCAGCCTCGCAGCAGGAATCGAAATGGTTTTTTATCGCATGCTGCCCTGTCCTTTCTTTGTTCCTTGTCTAGGGATAATTAGATTTCAGCTGACTGGTACTTCCTCTCCAAAAGATTCTCTCAGGTCTCCCGAGATCAGATAGCCTCCCTCGACGCTTCTGCACAACCGAGCTCGTCGAGCAGACGCCCCTTTACCACTACCGCAAAACGAACAAGCTGCGCAGCAGCACCCTGGCGAGCATGGCGCCCCCGACGACTAGCAAGAAGCGCAAGCTGGGCGAGGATAAGGGGACGAAGTACTATGCTGTGCGGGCGGGCAAGGTGCCGGGTGTCTACATGACTTGGTTGGAGTGCCAGAAGCAGATTACTGGATTCAGGGGATCTTCTCGTACGTCCGCCCCAACTTCCTTTATCGTCTCAACACGCGGAAGCTATGCTAAGCTAAGCTGTTACCATGTTTGGAAATTCATATACTGATTCCAGTTTCCTTTGTACTGCAGACAAATCCTTCTTCAGCGAGAAGGAGGCTCTCGATTTCGTGGCCGGGAAGAGCGGATCCGCGAATGGAGAAGAGAAGTTCTACGGCGTTGCAGTGGGTCATCTACCAGGCGTATACACCAACTGGGCGGACGCCAACGAGCAGATTCTGGGTGCTGAGAAGCCGAAATTTAAGAAATTTGAGACGCGCAAGGAGGCAGAAGCGTTCGTGAGGAGTGGTGCGGTTGCGCAACGTAAGAAGGTGGAGGCTAAGAGAGCTGTCAAGGATGACGATGGGGAGGAGGGAGGGGAGGACGAGGAGGACGAGGACGAGGACGATGACGAGGACGAGGACGAGGAGGACGAGGACGAGGAAGAGGACGAGGACGATGACGAGGAGAACGAGGACGAGGAGGAGCCGGTGTCAAAGAAGGCGAAGACGAAGTTGAGCAAGGTGATCAAGGTCTACACGGATGGTAGCGCACTGGGAAATGGGAGGACGGGTGCCGTTGCTGGGGTTGGGGTTTTCTTTGGAGTTGGAGATTCACGGTATGTTTGCTTCCTACTTCCAAAGCTAGATATATGTTTATATGGCCTGCCTGACTGATATCTCTAGCAACGTCTCTGAACCCCTTGAGGGGATGCCCCAAACCAACAACCGCGCCGAGCTCACGGGCATCCTGCGCGCGCTCCAGATCGCACCCAAAGACAAGGACATGGAGATCGTGACCGATAGTAACTACTCGATCAACTGCGTGACGGTCTGGTTCCGCGGATGGGCTGCCAAGGGCTGGAAGAAGTCCGACGGCAAGGACGCCGAGAACACGGATCTGATCAAGGCAATTCGGGAGCTGATTGATGAGCGAGATGAGAATGGGAAGGAGACGAAGTTCACCTGGATCAAGGGGCATAACGATGATCCGGGTAATACGGCGGCGGATAGGCTGGCAGTCGCTGGGGCCCAGAATGCGCAGTCTGCGAGGCGTTAGGCGTTTTGTTGCCGTGCTATCTGCCACAGTCTTGTCTCACGGATGAAGTAGAGAGATACCCAGCGCCTGAGAAGAGTTCTTAGGCGGATTTTGGCGGTATCAGACAGGAGTCCAACTTCTAGCATCAAGGGTATGTCTTCTCGCAGGTACGTGGAGTGATTGGTTCACTAAATCACTCGAGAGGGCTCCACAGGATTCGAAGGAAGTACTTTTCTTTACGGGCGAGACGGAAGATGGTTCTTTGGCCTTGGTGGTTGGTTATCTATGAAACAGGATCATGGCTATGGAGTGAAACGAGGCATGAATAGGTGCATGCCTAGATACCGCTGGACTCGGGATAACTCGAGATGGGTATCAGTTTTTCTTTTTCTCTTTCTTTTCTTTTTGTGAGGTTCATATGAAGTAATACCCGGCGTCCACAGATCTACGCTCCCCTCAGTCTCGTCTCTTGCTTGTCTCGAATAGATAGCTTTTCTCCGATATTCCTGTATTGTCTCATCAGAATGGACTTATATCATGCCCCCTTGACTGGCGCGGCCAGCTTATCGCTGTGAACTGGTAATGTTGGTTATTTACGGCGTAGAAGTTACGACATGGTCGGTTTCGTCTTCAACATGAGATGGGCGAAAAAGCAGGAAGCCTACTTATGGAGTCATTGTTAGGTATGTACAGTAAGCAGGCAGGATCCCCCACTTAGGTGGGGCTTAGCTTGGCCTGCATTTCCATCTGCAACATTTTCTTCTTCCATCAATCAGCAGCTTCCCATTCACCGCCACGCATGCACGAGAATCGAATCCCCAAGCTATCCTCTGAACTCTAGACTCGAAGGTTCCCCAATCAAACCTCAAATCTCGGCCGTTTAAGATATTAACAATCAGTCGGACATCTACTACTATCTGCTCGCGGGTCTGCCAGTCAAAAGCGGCGGTGTGACATACGTAGTAGCTTTATTGCAAAAGCTTTTGGGCCAGGCTCAAGAACACGACGGGGATCTGGGTCTTGGGATCCGCTGCTTGGAGAGGCGATTCGGCTTGTTAGGCGAAGGGAGGCTTTGGCCAAGAAGCGAGAGGTTCTCTTTGTTGCTCGGTTGCTTGCTTGGTTGTTTATTTGTCGATTTGACGGGCGCAACTTCTGGGAGCTTTTCCAGACAGAGGCGGGTGAAGATGCCGACATTGGCGCTGACGAACTTCAATATCGTGTGCTCGGTGCTCGGCGGCTTCATCACAACTTTCGGGCTTGTGAGTTATCTGATGAAGGAGAAGTTCTACTTAAGCGAAGCACGTACGTCCTTCTTTCCCCTCTCCTCTCATCATCTACCTACAAGGGGAAGAGACATGCTGTGCTGATTTTGGGTTTGTTGGTACGTATAGTTATCTCCCTCCTCGCCGGCATCACGTTCTCGCCACATGCTGCCAACTTCATTAGGCCACTAGAATACGCAGGCAGTCAAGCGAACATCAATGCCGTGACGCTGTACTTCAGCCGGCTGGTGCTAGGCGTGCAGCTGGTGCTTGCCGGCGTGCAGCTGCCGAGTCGGTATCTGAAGAAGGAATGGAGAGCGCTTGCGCTGCTCCTGGGGCCAGTCATGACGATTATGGTGCGTATCCGAGGAGCCTGCTTCTCCCTATATCAGACTGTCTCACTCAAATCCCGAAACCTTCTTGATCAGTCTGTTACAGTACAGTTGCTAACCCCCAGTGTCGCTCAGTGGCTCGCGGGTAGCCTCTTGGTGTGGGCGATGGTGCCACACTTGCCGTTCGTACATGCGTTGGCTGTTGCGGCTTGTGTAACGCCGACAGATCCTGTGCTTTCAAACAGCATCGTCAAGGGGAAGTTTGCAGACAAGAATATCCCCAAAGATCTGCAGAAGATTATCATCGCGGAGTCGGGGGCGAACGACGGGCTGGGATACCCGTTCCTGTTCATCGCTCTGTATCTTGTCAAGTATGCTGGTAATGGCGGGCTAGGGCAGGAGGGAGGCGTGGGAAAGGCCTTGGGCCTGTGGTTTGGGGAGACGTGGGGATATACCATACTGCTGAGTGTGGTATATGGCGCTACGGTGGGCTGGGTCGCGAAGGAGCTACTGCACTGGGCTGAGGAGAAGAAGTTTGTGGATCGAGAGAGCTTCCTCGTGTTTGCTATTACACTCGCTCTTTTCATTGTTGGGACTTGTGGCATTGTACGCTTCCCTTTTCCTATCATCGAGGGGCTGAAATCGAAAATTTGTGTTTGCTCTTGCTCCTTGCGCGAAGTTGTGCTAACGTTTTGTAGATTGGCTCAGATGATGTACTTGCTTGCTTCATCGCAGGCAATGTCTTTACTTGGGACGATTGGTTTCGTCTCGAGACACTGGATGATTCGCTACAGCCCACTATTGATATGCTGCTCAACCTATCTATCTTCATCTGGTTTGGAGCCATCTGTCCCTGGGCCTCGTTTAGGACGAACGATATTATACCCATATACCGATTGATATTCTTAGGCGTTCTGGTTCTACTTCTCAGGTGAGCGGTTTGCATTCAATCGATCCATTCATGCATGGAAGAAGCTCCGACTGACGGTCAGCAGACGTCTTCCCGTCGTGTTCGCGTTGCACAAGCTCATCCACCAGATCGAAGAAAAGCGCCAGGCCATCTTCGTCGGCTTCTTCGGCCCCATCGGCGTCTCGGCCATCTTCTACCTGTATATCAGCCTCGAGTTCCTCGAGACCGTCACCGTGGCCGATGGGGCACAGCGCGAAGACGCGGCACGCCTGGGCGAGACGATCCACGTTGTGGTCTGGTTCCTGACCATCTGCAGCATCGTGGTCCACGGCCTCTCGATCCCGCTCGGCAAGGTCGGTTTCTTTCTCCCGCGCACCCTGTCGCGCGCCTTCACCTCCTCCCCACCCAGCGACAACACGGCGAGCGGCTTCCAGGTTGGGAATTTCTCGCGCTCGTCGTCTGTTAGGGGGGTGTTAAGGGAGCGTCGTCGGAGGGGCAGGGAGGAGCAGTCGTCGCCGACGGAGAATGATGGCTCTGGTTCCAGATCTGCTGCTGCTGCTGCTGCATCGAGCACGACGAGGGTGCTTGGTAAGATTGGAGGGAGAGTTATCCCTACAGGTATCGAGGCTGGGGCTGCGGATGTAGGTGAGAGGGAAAGGGAGAGACCGTCTACGCCGCCGAGCGTGGCGGCCACGAGGACGATTCGCTATGCGGTTGATGGGGAGCATGTGCCGGGAGCGACTTAGCATTCACTTGATCTCATTCGCATCAGGCTTAGATGAGTAGACGGACGATTCTTGCGTTATTCCTATTCGGTATTCACGTATATATATATATAAATCTATAGATATGAAAATGAAATCTAGATATCGATAGACGTGTGCCCAGATGATGTATGTGCACTCTCTCTCTCTCTCTTCTCCTTCTTCTCCTTCTCCCTCTTTTCATCTAGCTAAGCGAGTCATCTAAACAGTCAGCGCGGGGATTAAATCAATGTGCGAAGCGAAGCGAAGCAAAGGGAAAAAAAGGGAAAGGGAAAGAATGGGAAAGGGAATAAAAGCGTAGGGGTTAATAGAGCGGGGAGAGTAGTGCTGTGGGTGTGTGTGTGTGTGTGAGTAAGGAGGAGGAAGAGGAGGAGGAAGCCAGATAGGAGATGGGTGGTGAAGAGTGATGAGGAGATGAGGAGATGAGGAGATGAGGGGAAGGGAAATGGAAAGGGAGAGAGAGAAAGAAAGAGGAGGGGAACACAGTGGTCTTTCGGGGTCCTTCTATGGTGGCGATTACGGCGCGGTTTGCGATTGTTTCGAAGAGGGGAAGGGGAGGGGGGGGGGGAAGAGAGTAGGGCGGGTTAGGATATAGGGTTGCTTAGGATATACAGTGCAGAGGGAGGGAGGGAGGTAGGTAAGGGTGGGTTAGGTGCGTACGGTATTGGACTGTATGGGGTAGGGCAGGAGGAGGAGGAGGAGGAGGAGGAGCGGGGTAGATAGATCGATGGGTAGGTAGGTAGGTAGGTAGGTAGGTAGGTCGGTAAGTAGTTTTCTGGTTTCTGGTTTCCGGCATCTCTGGCTATACCCGAAATACAGCAGGAGCGACATCCGATTCGGAATCGGGGGGGTGTGGTTTGTTGATTGGGTGGTGGGAGGGACGGGAGACAGGCGCAGATTTGAGGGCTTCTGCGCCGAAGGAGAGGGGAGCGAAGGGGAAGAGCGCTACGGGAGGTAGAGGAGAGGACTGTCTACCGGAATTAACCTAAGTTCCTACCTTGCCTTACTCGAGCTTTTGCTGACCTGCCTGCCTTACCCTTACTCGAGCTCTTGCTGACCTACCGGTACCTACCTTACTCGAGTCCTTGCTGATCTAATCTAATTCAAGGTGGACGAAACTGCGGCGTCTTCCTGACGAACCTGGGAGCTGCATTTGCATCTGCAGGGCATCCTGAAGAAAGCCGCCTGTCCTACTGTACTACTTACTGTGCTATTGATGATGATGCACTTCGTATGTATGTATACGTACGTGCGGCATTGGACGATAGAAGGGGCAAAGACACGGGAGGTTTGCTTTGATCCTCTGTGTCGTGCCTTATCGGCGTCTGAAGGGATGCTGCGCATGGTAAGAACCTTGGGCTGATGAGGAGGACGGGGTATGATGCGGCGGTACCTTGTCGTGGAATGGTATGGTACGGTGGCATGGGTAGTATGATGTGGTAAGGTGCGTTGCGGCGCGGACGGGTCTCGATATCGATTTCGATTGTCGATGTGATGTCGATGCCGAGGGCGAAGTGAGAGTCAGATTGAAAGTGGATCTGGATGGGCCTGACTCTCGGTCTCTTTTCTCTTGCTCTTTGATTTTTATTTTTTTATCCGTAACGCTCGCCTTGACAGCTAGTTGAGTCCAGTCGGGGCGAGAAGCGCAGAGTAGAGTAGAGTGAGGCCGGTCACGTAAAGTAAAGCACTGTAATGTTCATATTAGTGTAAGATGGTATAGTGTATGTAATATGGGAGATCAATTCGCCAAATAGCTCTCCAGGTGGGCCTCCGATATAAGTATGTAATATGTATGTAGGTGGATGTGTATGGGGTTGAAGGAGTTACGGAGCGGGTATGTATGTATATGTATCCCCGTACGGCGAAGATGCACGCGGAAGCGAGAAACCCTGCTGCCGGCACGGAGGACGAGACGAAGCAAGACGGGACGGGGCGCTTAGAAGTGGGCCGGGGGAATACGACTCTGCCTCTTGCTTTTATTTATGTTGCTCTTGCGTGAGATGGATGCTTTGGGAGCGGGGCGCATGGACTCTGTGGATTTGTAGGTCGTGAGCTGTGAGTTAACGGATGAGTAGTGCGCACTGCTTAGACGCTGTGGGTTCATGATGACGTGCATTAATTGCTTTACTAAATGCCGTTGTTCATAATTAGCCTCTGCTTTAGTGCTAAGGCATCTCTTTCGGCGAGGAGAATGGAGGCCGAAGAGAGAAGGAGAGGAGTCGAGTAGATTAGGAGCAGGTTTCCTGGCGTTGTCTTTCTTGACGTGGTTTACAATACTTAATAGGGGTTATTCAAGATGGTTGCAATTGATAAAGCTGAGATGAGATACGATGTTGATGTTGATGTTGATGTTGATGTTGATGTTGATGTTGATGTTGATGTTGATGTTGATGTTGATGTTGATGTTGATGTTGATGTTGATGTTGATGTTGATGTTGATGTTGATAATGATAATGATATTAATATTAATATTGATATTGTTGTTGATGTTCATATTGACGTGCAAGCGAAGTCGAGTCGAAACGGCTACACGCTTTACTTACCGCTGTAAGGGTTGACAGCCAAGCTATTCTCTACTTACAGCTACCGGTACCGTATAACGGCAAAGTCCAGACGGAACGCGCTGGAGATTAGATCAGTAGTTAGTCAGTGCGCTCGCTCGCTGCCTGTTTCACCCGCGCTTCTTCTCGAGACGAGACAACGTTTAAATTCAAAGCCTCGTGCAGATCTCTCAGTACTGGGGCCTAGCCTCCCGGGTGCACGCACGCACCTGGCATTGGCACATACTACTACTAGGTACTCACTAGAATGAGATGATTAGTGAGCAATTGGCGCGAGGCGTGGACTGGCTGGCTCTCAGCACGCTGGCTCTCAGCTCATTCATTAGCTAGCTGTTCTGGTCTCAATGGCAAACTCGATTGAAATTGTCATGTTTTTCCTTTCCATTCTCTTTTCGATCAAGGGTCTCATTATGAGCACGCAAACCGATAAGCGGGTAGGTTCAAGCCGAGACTCTTAAACGGGATACGTAATTGGAAATGCAGGTATGGAATGTCAATTTCTCCGGGGCCAGGCCCAGACTCGGTACTGTACCGAATGAGGGGCCAGGTGGCTCGGCCGGTCGGAGCTGATAAGGCGGATTTAGGACGGGGGAAGTACAGGCCGAAGGATGGTGGTCGTACGGTCGAATAATAAATAGTCTGGGTCGTAGTACTTCTAGTCGGAGAAGAATCTAGTAACAAGGTAATAAGTCAGTGGTAGGTTAATCCAGAAGTAGTATATTGTAGTATATTATAGTATACTGACTATACTGACTATGGGTCAGTAGGTAGTCAGTCGTACCTACGTCCTACCTTGCTGAGTAGATGTATATGTCACGAGTGGTATAAGTATGGATCGGGGGTGGGTGGAATGCTTGTGTGGTGTTGCAGTAGCGGCAAGCGAGACGAGGAGAAACTCGACACGTAATGCAGGTTTTTCGCAGTGAGGAGGTAGAGCGTAGGTACATACCTGTTATCGGGACGAGCAATTCCGCGGCTATGGAATCTTCTACGAGACGATGAATGATGGTGATGTTGATAGTAGTGATGTTGTTGTTGTTGTGGTTGTTATGGTTGTTGTGGTTGTTGTGGTTGTTGTGGTTGTTGTGGTTGTTGTTGTGGTTGTCGTGGTTGTCGTGGTTGTTGTGGTTGTAAATACCCATGATGAGTAAGTCTAGGTCTGTCGTAGTAATGGTCGTAGCAACTTAGTGGGATGTACTCCGTACAGTAGTGGGAGTGGAGTGGAGTGGAGTGGGGTGGGAGTGGGGGGGGGAGTGGAGGGGAGTGGAGGGGAGTGGAGTGGTGGCCCACCTCTTCAGCGGGACCGTTTTTGAGCCCTGCATAATCACTATCCCTGTTCTGGTGGCCAACGGGAGGATCTCCATGTCTCATCCATGCAATTCCGAGATGTCCATGAATCCTGTCTACCCACAGACATCACATCACGCTTTTTGCATTGGATTTGAGCTTTTCGTCCAGTCCAGTCCAGTCCAGTCCTTCCCGACCGACCGACTGCACTCACAATCAGAACAGGAAACAGATGCTGCTGCTGCTACATGTCATCTAGTCTTGTCAATGGTTGTCAATTGCCCTGGATTGATCAATGGGCCAGAGACTAAACTAAAGAAAGACTTCTACTGGTATGCAGCCTATTAATTGCAACTACCTATCCATACCATCCCATCCATACCGACGACTATCTAACTCTCTCTCTATCTTGCTAGCCTAGCCTACCACCCTCCACCCACCGCTCAACCAATCAACTGCCGCCCCTTCCTCGTCTCCGTCCCCACCCTCCGTTCCGACTCCGACAGCTTTTTCTTTTTTATAATCGATAATAACCCTCCCCCCATCCACCCCCCCTCGCCCACCCCAGAATCTCGGAATCTTGCTTGACCTCTCTACCTCTTGTCTCGGCCCTTGCTT